AAATCATCAACGCTTGGGGGGGGGGAAGACAGTGGATAGAAATTATAAAACTTAAAAATCAAATATATAATACATTAGTTTCACACATTAATTAAAAACTTTCATATATTACTCTTTCGGTATTTTGATTCACTATTTGATTTAGAGTTACTTTATATTAAGAAATAGGTTGTCTAATTCGGTAATCGATCATATTTATTCACAATTTACGAGAGAGGAACGATATTTCAATGTCGGGGATAAAAAAATAAAATAAAAGAAGGATGAACAAACCTGTTGCCGAGAATCCCATGCAACTTGATGATTGTCTCTTCTTCTTCAGGCGTGAAATTCCCTCTCTTAATGTCGGGTCTGAGGTAGTTTATCCACCGAAGCCTGCAACTCTTTCCGCATCTAAGTAACCCTAAAACTCAACATAAAAAATTAAAAAGAAACTTATGTATATATATGTGTATGTATATATGTATCTATCGATAAAAAAAAACAAGAGAGAGAGTACCGGCGTGTTTAGGGAGAGCTCGCCAATTGGGATGGCCGTGGAGGCGGATATAATCGATGAGTATTCGGTCTTCCTCCGGAGTCCATGGCCCTTTCTTCAACCCCATTTTCTCACAGCATGGTGCTCTTCCCATCTCTCCGGAGAGAGAGAGAGAGAGAGAGAGAGAGAGAGAGAGAGAGAGGGTCTGAGATTAGAAGCTTAGAGACGGATGTTCATGGAAAGCAGAAGAGGCCAAATGCTCGAAGCGAGCGTGGAAAAGGGCAGTGAGTGCTGTGTGTACATATTGCTTATAATATTTATATAATGCGACTGTCGGACGAAGCCAAGTTTGAATGTTTTTGTCTTTACCAAAAAAAAAATTGAATATTTTGTACACACAAGTCCAAAGCTTTTGCCACTAATTGCACGTTTTGGTCTACCAACCAAGGAGATCTACGATCTTTTGTCTTTTTATGTTTGTACCGTAAACAATTAAATGTTTTGATTTAATTGTAGCTTATAATCCAAAATATATTGGTTGTCTCTCGATTTCGATATTAGTCTAGATCTTGATACATGATAACCGGTTTAAAAAAAAGTTTTGATTTAGTATGAAAGTTGGTGTGCTTTGTAGTTGTAATTATTGTGCTGAGGGTAATTTGTCCACGTTTTGCAAAATACCCATTTAATACTTCAGTAGATTATAATCAACAAAATAAAACAAATAGAAATATATATGTTTTAAAAACTTTCAAAACGATACATAACAGATATTTCAAAATTTATTATCCAATTACATAATCTCTAATTAATATTCTCTCTTTTATGATACTTTCTATCTATCTATCTATCTATCTATATATGAGTTATGTTTATCGATTAAAGACTAATATAATGGATAAAAAAAATCTTTCACATTTATCTAAACATATATTTATTAAATTTCGAACTCGATTAAATATTAATGTAATTGATCTAAATAACATCAGATGATCTTAATAATAATCGGGCTTCATTTTATTTTTTTCTATTGAGAATGGAATTTTGTTTGTTCGACCAACTCTCTAGGATTCAATATCCTCGAGAACTGAACATACAATTAATCTCGATAGTGACATTACATATATATGGACCGCCGGGGCGCCATATGATATGAGGATATGCAAATATTTTATTGGACTGTTGCGTTGTCATTACCATGTTGTTGCCCATAATTTACACGAGGAAGAAATCTACGAGTAAATTTATGTATCGACAGAAGAATGTGGGCACAAACATTGAACTAAATAATTAATTCCGAGTTGCATGTCGATTCATTTCCGAAATATTGAGGCTATACAAATCTGCTCGTGGATCATGTTCTCATAAATAAAGGGCAGACATTAAATGTATTATATATAATTTCGTTATTTAAACAAAATTTTGGCCTTAATTAATCTAGCCCAAATCTATAAGCATGTGCTTGAATGGTTATTGCTATTATTCTTCACCAAAAAAACAGAAGTGTTATTATTAGTTTGGATTTTGGAAAAAAAAAAGGAAAATTGGCTCGTAATCTCCACCAAATCGATTTATTAATATACACGTATGATAATATTTTGTTTCCTTTTGTTGGGCGGTCTAAAAAAACTCGTGCATATATATATAATATACGTACACGCACGTCCCAATTAATATAATATCATAATATATTTTTGATATTCGTGAATGATTAATAATAATGTTACATTTAAAACACACGTACGCCACCATATGAAGATCCCGTTATCTAATATTAGAGCCAGTCCAATAATATACATATGCTCTTTTACTTAACCCTCTTTCTTCTCTCATTGAATTTTTTTGTACGTACGAAATCGTACGTGTGGTCTTTGTTTTATGTTCTATATGTATATGCGTGTATACGTATATTCTGTTCACACGAAGAAGTAATAACTTCGTCGATTGAAAAGGCATTGAACAATAATATATATATATATATATATATATATATAGAAATATTTTCGAGAGTTGACGCACAAATATAAACACGCATAGAGGGTCAAGGAAATAGGCTATAAGTGCTCATCAACAAAATCAGTAGGACCAATATTGTCACTTTAGTTCGGGCTTGTCGGGCGACCTATATACATATACATGTGATACAATCTTGATTTATATATATATATATATGTCTGATACATCTGAAATATTTATATGAATGCAATATAACATCACTCGTCTTATTTTTGCTTTGCAATTCTAAAGTGATAAAAAAAAATAATCAAGAATTAAGAGTAATAGCAACAAAAATAAAATGAAATAAAACACCTGATTTTGGCTCAATTGGTAAAAAGTGAGGTAAAAAATTTTCTCAATCTTTTGAAAGATGTGGTTGAATAAAAAATCCGATAAATTTTCAAATATATAAATAAAAAATAATGCCGAAACATTATGTACGTGGAGGAAAATCGAGGCACTTAAAAGCGGTGTCACCATTTTAACTTTTTCTTGTGTCACTAATTAATTGATAATCAGGTAAATCATCACTGTTTTTTTATATAATTAAAAATTATATTCGTGGGTTTAAAAAAAGAAAAGAAAAGAAAGAAACGCCGCATCAATTTTATTTACTCGTTCCCCGTCAATGGATCGATCTACTCTTTTGGTGCGCATTGATGTACACAGTTTTTCTCATTTTGTCTGCATTTTCCGGAGCAGGAATTAAATTCTGAATTTTGTTTCTTTATAATATTTTTCTAGTTTTAAAAAAAGACTATAATTCGATTCCGTTCAATTCAATTTTTGTTTGAATTCATTTTTTATTAATAAAACTTTAATTAAAAAATATATATTTTTTAATTTTAAGATTTAATATGAATTAAAAGTTTTCAATTTAAAAAATTTATATATTTATATGTTATTCTTGAGAACAAATTAACTGAAACGATTAAAAATTGTTGAAAGATAGGATAAATCCCTAAAAAATATCCAAATTTATCAATTTTCATTAAATAAAATCTAAATTTTATTTTTTATCAAATAAAATCCCAATTTTATTTTTCAGTTGAAAATAAACCCAAACTTTATCACTGTTGTTATTTTTAAACCTAAACGTTGACGTGACATACGATATTCTATGTGACAAGTCAACATCTAATTAACCGTATTCGATACGTCATCATCAACATGTTACGATATCAGTACACCATATCATCGATAGACTTAAAAATATAACTGTTATAATGTTTAGATTTATCTATAACTTAAAAATAAAGTTGAGGTTATTGACAAAAAACAAAGTTTTTGTTTTATTTTATGAAAATTGATAAGTTGTTTTTTTTTTTGGATTTTTTCTAAAAGATATAAACATTTAAGACCTAATTCGTCAAAAGAAATAAACTATATATGACCTTTGTGATGCTTAAATTTTCTCCCACTAATTTTAAGGTCCCACTATATATCTATAAAAAAAAATGCCGTAATTGGTTGGTAACGACGAAGATTTCACTTAGACCCCAAGTCATATAGTTTATGTAAGAATCTTTCAACATGTAACGTTTTAAATTAAGTGTATATAGACCTAAATGATAAATTAAAGAAAAACGTTATCCAATTGCCATTGTCAAAAAAAAAAAAAGACATCTCCTATTTTTTCCCCTCCTTTTCATTTCTTGATTTCTATATTTTTTCCCATATTATGGAATCACTAATTTAATTTGATTGATTCGACAGATTCGGTGGATAAGATATAAATTTTTTGAAAAAATCACATATAAATACTTGAACTTTTACAAAATTTTCAAAAATATATACGCGAACTATACAATTTCTAAATAAATACCTTAACTTTTTAAAACTTCCATATAAATATCCAAACTTTTAAAAGATTACCAAATAAAACCAAAATTCATTAACGCCGTTAAATTTTTAATGGAATCCGTCGATAATTGATGACTTAGCGTCAACAGATATTGTTTCATTTGGTAAAATTTTAAAATATTAGGTATTTATGTGGAAGTTTTATAAAGTTTAGGTATTTCTTTGAAAATTTTGTAGTTCAGATATTTATAAATATTTGGGAATTTTAAAAAAGTTTAAGTATTTATATATGATTTTTAGTTTAACCAAATTTCAATCTAAAAATATTGAGTGTAATATTTCAAAATCTAATTTTGTATCGATGAAAATTGACTATATGAAATTTGAATTTCCGAAAAAGAATATTCAGATGCCTCAAAACTTATATTTTTTGTAATCAAAATAATTGTACTTATCCGAAAATAAAATCGTAAAAATCTAACTTGAGTCGCTAATAACATCGTCTGTAAAATCTGAATTGTAATTCAAATTTGTAGCATACGAAAAAATCAAACAATTTTACACCAGTTTAAATAATCACAATTATTCACATTAAATAACAATTATACCATATATATTAGTTATGACATTAAACCACAGGTTATAGAATTTCTAACCGTTTTTACTATAGTCAAAGAAATTTAATATATATATATATAGAGAAAACTTCAAAACCATGTATATATATACTGTGATCGTTTTGGTTATTATCCAAATAATCGAAATAAACCGAATCGAATAAGACATAACTGTAATCGAACCAGATTCAACATAAAAATCGATCCGTAATTGAACCGAAGCGAATAAAAAATAACCGAAAAATCCGATAATTTCTTTGAAAAAACAAGTTTTTTACAATAAAAAAATTGAATCTGAACCGAACCGAGTTAAAAAAATAACCGGACCGAAATTTATATAGAAACCGAATAATCATAGTTTTTCTATAAACGATATAAGCGAATTCGAATATAATCTCCGAAGCGAAACCCGAAATAGACACCTCAATATACACATGATGACGTAAATGTGACGGGACAAAATCGTATATGTATTACATCGTGTTTCAAAAGAGAGTTATTTGGAATTTAAAATCCTACATTTGATTGATTAATATTGATGGACAATGGTAGAGGAAATCGAATAAAACGAAAATTAAAAGAAAAACAAATTGCCTTTTCAGTCGTGTCGGAAAGAAAAAAATGGCTATCCAACGAAAATGAGACCGACGACAAATAAGAAAATCATGGAAAAAAATGAAAGAGAGAGAGAGCCGTACACATGGTTTGACCACTCGTAAATCGTTTTTGGGGTTATTGGTTAAGTCTGACAAAAAGAGGTGGTGTTTTATAAAGTATGATAAAATAGTTATGACTGTTGCAAACTATACCTTTTTATAATTTTTTGACAAAACTATCCTTACTTTATTGTATAATTTCAATATTGTCATTTAGCGTCCCAAAAAATGTGCAATATAAAAAGTAGATTTTTTTGGAAACCGTGTAATCCGTGAGAGCTGTTTTTCATCTGGGAGAGACTGTTTTTATCCGGGAGAACTGTTTTTTGTCCGGGATAAATGTTTTTCATCCAGGAGAGTTTGTCTTTTGTCCGGGAGAACTGTTTTTCGTCCGGGAGAGTCTGTTTTTTGTTCGGGAGAGTCTGTTTTTTGTCCGGAAGAGTCTGTTTTTTGTCCGGGAGATTTTTTTTTGTTCGGGAGAGTTTGTTTTTATCCGAGAGAATCTTTTTTTGTCCGTGAGAACAGTTTTTTGTCCGGGAGGATTGTTTTTTGTCCGGAAAAATCTGTTTTTCGTTCAGAAAAGTTTGTTTTTTTGTCCGAAAGAACTGTTTTTTTCGAGGGAGTTGTTTTTCGTTCGGGAGTGTACGTTTTTTGTCCGAATGAAAAATAGTTCTCACGTATAAAAAAATTTGTTTTTTATATAAAAAACATTTTTTCTCCTATGAAAACAATTTTGTAAAAAAAAAGTATTCTCCCAAACGAAAATAGACTTTTTCATATAAAAAACATTTTTTCGGATAAAAAAAGTCTTTCTCAAATGAAAAAAATAATTTTTTCGGACGAGAAACAGTTCTTCTTGATAAAAGAAAAATTATTTTTTTCGTATACAAAAACAATTAAACCAAATAAAAATATATTCTCACAGATAAAAAATAATTATTCCGGACGAAAAAAACAGTTTTTCGAGATAACACAATTTCTGAATAAAATATATTTTTTATGCTGTAATTTTTTTTTGAATAATGGCAACATTGAAATTATACAATAAAGTAAGGGTATTTTTGTCAAAAAATTATAAAAAAATATAGTTTGCAAAGGAAGGAAAAAAAGGTATAGATTTATAATGACGTGACGTTTTTGGATACGGGTACAAATTTTCCCATCGTTTTCTGTACCATGAAGAAAGATCAACTTTACTCATTCGGCCATTTTATTAGATTCCCTTTTAAATGGTCCAAAAAAAAAGATATGACATATGATCCAATCTTATATCCAATTTTTTTTTTTTGTTACATGGAATTGGACAAAAGTGGCAAGGAGTGTGGACTGACTGAACAGTGTTCCCTTTCACTTTGTCTATGTCGGTCTCATTAAAACATTATATCCGTTAATCCATAACCCGTGACCAAACCTATAACCCGGATTACACGAATACACATATTTATAAAATTGATAATGTCTAATAAATAATTAAATTTTCTGTCAAAATAATTCAAAACCATACAATTTATGTATCCTTACAATAGTAAATAAAAATAATAAACATAATAATTTAAATATATAATAATATTATTAACCTAAATATAAAAGATACATTTATAATTTTTCAGCTTTCACGAGTCGCGAACCATATGCTTTTTTTTATTTATTACCCGCATTACGCTGAATCTGGAAATGCACGATGGCGAAAAATCACGTCATGGACGAGCATTTTAACGTCGAGGCTTACAACCCGAAAGGAGCAAGAGCGAGTTTAGATATACCTAAAACGCGAAGCGGGTACCCGTGCCATCGAGAAATCTATCAGTATGCCATCCCTTTGCCTGCAGCTCCGACAAAAACGGATTGAATACATCGTTCATCTTCTCATACGCGTCTTGCAGCATCACATCTTTCGGCTCTTTGTACGCCTTCTCCATCGACATTGCATAAGCAGCAACTAACCATCCTCGGAGTGCATCTTCACCCGAGGCATCGTGCTCCAACACCATATCCGTCCAGCCCTTCCCGGGGTCGGGATTCAGCAGAAATTTCTCATCTGCAAATACGTCTCTTAATCTCCGAAGCTGTGAAGGTCTCACAACCTTATGCAGAGCCCTTCCCACTCTCACATTCCCTGAGCCTTGTATCAGTTTTTCGGGAAACAGGAGATTTTCTTGGTATCTTAGACCCGCGGGGCTTGGGACTTCTCCTGTCTGATTTCAGACAGCAGTTAGGAAAAAGATTCAGATTATGACAAGGACAGAAGCGAAATCATAGAGGATTGAACTGAACTACAGATGATGATGATACCTTGAGGAAATTAGCAACGATTAAAGCAGTTCTCTGTGGATTCAGGGTATTGATTGGTACAACCCTCATCTGCTCTGTGACACTAAACACATGTACCACCGACAGTATTGTCCCTACCACTAGCTGCAGGAATCATTCTCTCTTTAAGATTAAGAACGTTGAAGATGAAAATATCCAAAGGGATTCTCAAAGAATTGTAATCTAAAACCTTAGGATACGTAAAGAATCAATCAATACACAATCAAGCAGTATGAGCAATATATATATACCTTCCCCTGCATCGATGAACAAACTGTAGAAGCAAGATGTATTCCAGCCCCTAAGCCGACAACGTTAAAAAGAGTAGAGATGGCTTCTCCTTTGGCAAAAATATCGCTAAGATTTCCTTCTTTGGCGAATGATGAATAGATAGGTAGTCTTGTTGCCCTTGCAGCGACCACAGCCATTCCCTGTTACACCGAACAAGTGAATCAAATTCTAGCCGTTTAATCATTTTCTCGCATCAAAAGGGACGAGGAGAGCGCGTTGGATCTTCCTGAATACAGTTTCCTTCTACCCTTTTGGAACAAAAGCATTCACATCATTAAGAGCTGATAAATTCTCCATTAGGTTAGATCATGAGAAATGCATCACCTTGGCGAAATTCCCTAGACCAGCCATTTCCAGGAATAGATGCGGGCATAAGGGAGAAAGAACCTCAAGGCCAGTACCAAGATCGTAGAGCACGTCAGCTGGAAAAAAACATATCATGTATTATAGTCGGAACCAGAGATAGTGGATGATACTTCCGCAACACAAGGATCCTAAAATTATGTCCTTCAGACATGATAACATTGCACTGGTAGATACACACAAGTAGCCAAGATATGTTCAAAGAACCGAACAGACCTAAAATTCTCCAGCGTTTTGGTTCAGAATCCATTCTTGCACCCAAATTGCTACATATAAGCTTACCCACATGCTGCATTCCATCTTTCAGAATCTGTTCAGTAACGAAAGTGCCATCATCCATTTCACTTATAATTGGAGAGTAAACCGGAAACGAACTAACCAAACAATCGGGGCAATGCAACATACCCAGCTGACAACAGTTGCTTGAGCCGGTGTAGGTCGCAAACCTGCAGCAAAAAGCAATGACTGCAGAGGAGTGAGATGATAACTATATATCCATTATCCATTGTTAATCTCGATTCCGCAACAAATGAAAACAAGACACGTAGCTCCGATACAGAAACTATCAAGCCGGATTAAGACAATGGGAACTATGGATTACGAAGTTGTAACTGACATCAACCTTCAAATGCAATTGCAAGAATCAGAAGAAGACCTGAGTTGACAACACAGACAAAGCAGCGCTTGAGAGATGCTGAAGTGCCCGGAACTGCGTGTATCTAAGATATCCCTCGTTCACACTGTATTAGAAGAAAGCTGGAATGAGATCTCTGTAACAAGGAATTCTTCTTCCATCTCTGTCATTGTTATTACGGTGAATCTCCAGAAAAAAGACAGACATACACATTGAATTGAGTCACCTGTAAGGATATCCCGAGGGGAAAAACTTGTTCAAGAAGGATTCAACCATCTTCTGGGCAACAGGTCTTGTGTCATCCACAAGTTTAACCTACAAACACCCAGATAGCGAAATTGGCATACAATTATCCACATTCAGAGCAAGATCAAACAGAGGACAGGACAATGACAGCGTTTCGCTGGAAACATCTAGCGAGAGCTCTTGACATTCATATTTTTATAAATGCCCATAATCGAGAATTAAGAACATGAGAAATTCCGGAGACCTGAGGTTAGAACACGAACAGAAAAATCCGGAAAATTTCATCGAAAACTAGTACGAGAGGGGGAGAGAGAGAGAGAGGTGGCTTACAGAGAGATGACCATCGGGTTCGAACTGAAATCGGCGAGAGACAGAATCCGAAGTCTCGAACCAGTAAACGGGAAGGTCATCCGTCTTCTTCTCCGTGATGGGTTCTTCCTTCTTTGTGATCTTCACCTTCTCCTGTTTCGTACACAAGCGATGATTTTTTTTCCCTTCTCAACCTTTCCACAATTCGGTTAATGTACACGAGAAAACTCAAAATAAGAAAAAGGTATGAAGATCCCCACGAGAAAATTCATGTCGGAGAGGCGAAGACACAGTACGAGCTCGAGGTTGGAGCCGCTGGAGTTCGAGAGAGCCGCCGCAATCACCCGAAAGTCCGAGAGAGAGAGCAAAGAGCAAGGGAAGTTTCGGCAAGGCAGAACGATGATGCCGAGAACGGCGTCGTTTAGCTCCATCACTTTTTGTCGTTATCGCTCCCTCTACCGTATATTTACCAAAATGCCCTTCAGTACGTCCCCTGGACCTACTTCCACTACCGGATTTCGGCCCAAATGGAAATCTCGTGATCCATCAAACAACCACCCTGGTCATTACAACCATATATATATATATATATGTATGTAACTAAATATTTAAAACGTACAAGTATATTTTTAGTCCTCCATCTTCACAAAAATCGTGAGTTTTTGTAATAGGCTTTATTTTTCATTTTACGTAGACACTTTGTTTTTTTTTGGTAAAATAGACAAAAAAAATTTATATTATGAATTTTTTTAATTTATACGTAACAAATATTGAAAAGATTATACATAACAAATACTCTCAATCTTTTGGGAGATATTTTAGATTATTAAAAAAATATTCAAAAGATCCTGAGAAAGTCATAAGGAAAGTAAAAAAAAGGATTACCGACTTCTATGTTTTAACAAAAAGAAAATTCTATATACTTTTTGGAAACTGTTATTTTGAAATATAATAATATAACTCATTTTTTATGAATGTAATGACGGAAATGCCCCCAGACCGTAAGCATGAGATTCTGCATGGGACCCATCCTTTGATTCTCTCGAACCAACCGGGCCGTCATGCCACAAAGGGCAAATCACATGACCCAACCAAACCACCTCAAAATAAAATAAATAAATAAATGTATGGTTTGATTAAAAAAAATACTATGGTTTTACAAAAAAAAAAATCACGTAAAATAGTTTCTACAACATTTATTTAACGTAAGTATATTATTCATGATGCCATAAATGCATAAGAAAATACAAATTTCATGAATGTTCAGCGTTGGAAAACATACTTTTTATCATGAAAATGAATGGGTTTTCAAAAGCTTAAAAAGCCTAAGCATTTTTCTTTACGTGATTCTCTTATTAACAACTTGATGATACAAATTAAACTTTAATTATGGTTGTTTACCGTTTTGACTGATTATATTTTACGATGAGGTATAAAACTATAAATCATCAACGCTTGTCTTAAATAGTAATTCGAAAAAATATTCAAATGTTACAGTTGGTGAAAAAAAAAATATTGAAGAACAAAAAACACATGATTTGGTAAGTTTGTTAGGATTCATAACATACAAATGAAAAGTGAAATGTATTTATATCTTCCTCTTGTTCGTCGCTCACTCTCTGCAGTCGTCCGGACAATTCACAGAGAGAGAGAGAGATTCATCCTTGTCTATTTGCAAAATCTGTTCTTTGCCTGAATTGATAATTCTAGCTCGGTATTATCTCTGCAACTTATTTTTTTCGGAAACTTTTTTTTGTTATGTTTTCATTTTGTTTATGTTATCTAAATCTCCTAAAGACAGAAACCTTGAATTAGGTAGAGAAAATATTTTCCTGGGAAACTTTGAACGAGAAAACACAGTTAATCTTTTGATTAGACGAAAAGAGTTTTCCAGGCGAAATTGTTCCGACATGAGTTTCGGCTCAACGGTGGGAGCCGATTTCTTCGAGTTTAGGTTTGATTCCTTCTTATTATTCATGTCACTCGGTATCGACCTTCTGTTTCATAGAATCTGGGAAATGTGTTGAATCGTCATGGGTTGTTGCAAGGTCGGATTTTTCTGTCATGAATCAAACTAAAGATAAAACCTTGGCATGGGTTTTCATCGCTAAGTTGCATTTGGAAATCAAGAACTACTGATGATGATGAATGTGTTCATTGTACAGAAAGTTGTAGGAATGTACGAAGAGATGGGATGTTACGAATCGAATGCTGCTACGGCGGGACCAACCGCCGAGAGTGGGGTCTCTCAGGCGGTGGAGCAGCCGCAGCCGCCGACGCAGCAAACGGTGGTGACGGGAAGCACTACCAACAGCAACTGCAGTGCTGAAGTTGAAGATCTCTCTGAGTTTCACCTTAGCCCACAGGACACTGTCCCTGCTGTGTCTGAAAATGTTGTTCAACTCCAGTTTCATAACCAGGTTCATGCCAACGCTCCTCATGATCATCAAATCCAGATGGTTCAGGACCTATCTGGGTCTGGTTACGTGCCGTTGCAGCAGTACGTTCAGTCGAATTGGGAGGGTGGCTGCCAAGATTTCGTCAATGTCGGTCCTGGATCCACAACAACAACTACTGACCTTCTCAGTCTATTGCATTTGCCCAGATGCTCAGTGCCTCCTTCTATGCTCCCTAACTCGTCACTTTCGTTTGCAAACTCGAGCCTTTCGGACATTATGGGAGCATCTTCCGTTGCTTATGACCCACTGTTCCATCTGAATTTTCCTCTGCAGCCTCCTTTTAGCCGAGATCAGAGCCAGTTGCTTGGGGTGGATGATCAGATAGATGCAGATGGAGGAGTAATGTATGCTGGTGGAAACAACCATGGAGAATTTGACAACGGGATTCTTGAGTTTAACACTGACATCGTGAACCGTAAAGGGCAAGGATCGGGAAAGAAGAAACCTTTTCCCACCGAACGGGAAAGGAGAATTCACTTCAAAGACAGGTTTCTCGAGTTGAAGCATTTGCTTCCTAGTCCCACCAAGGTTAGATTTCCTTCCATCCCCAAGTGATTTCCCCCAAGAAAGTTTGTTCATTCCATTTCCTTTCCGGTTGCCATGGCTTCAAAATGAAAAACTATCGTCGATTCCTTCGATCAGGGTGACAGAGCATCCATTGTTGCAGACGCCATAGAATACATCAAAGAGCTGCTCGGCACAATCGAGGAATTCAAATTACTGGTGGAGAAGAAAAGATTCGGGAAACACTGGAGCAAGAGAGCGAGAATAGAAGAAGACAGCGAGAACAAACCCCTGAGCGATGTGGACCAATCATCCTTCAACCATAACAACTCCCTCAGATGCTCATGGCTTCGGAGAAGATCCAAAGTTACAGAAGTAGATGTCCGTATCATTGACGATGAAGTAATCATCAAACTTGTTCAGAAGAAGAAGATCAATTGCTTGCTTATGGTCTCCAAAGTTCTTGATCAGCTTCAGTTGGATCTCCACCATGTCGCCGGTGGACAGATTGGTGAACACTACAGCTTCTTGTTCAACACCAAGGTGCATAATCTCATTTCTGCACTGCATTTTGGTTAGGTTGTCTAAATTCTCAACCTTCAAACCAAACATGTAATGCCCATTTCAGACAAACACAGACCCGGAAACAGATTTGGTCTGAATAGCTCTGGTGATGTTAAAACATTTTCTTTTGGATTTGGATTGTGGCAGATATACGAAGGATCATCCGTGTACGCGAGTGCGATAGCTGACACACTTATGGAGGTCGTTGAGCAACAGTACATGTCTGCATTTCCAACCGATGGCTTCTAGACCCGAGATCCAGTGACTTATCAAGAAACAAGTAATCCGACTAGTGAAACACTATAACTAGAGGCCCTTTTTCATCTCATTGTATAACTTCTTCTAGAACAAATGGGTCCTCACAATCATTTAGTCTCTTTTCGATGTTCTTGAACATCTTTGTTGTTGCCATTTTGAGATGTCTGATTCCGGACCCGTTTGCTTTGTTTGTTGCCATGAAGAATTCTTAGGAAACTGGAATATTATCTCCTTTTAAGTTTACTTTTTGTTCATTGGATTCCTTGTCCTCTGGCAGGAACGTTAGGACATAAACCCGCTCACTTTGTAGTCAAGTTGTGTGGTTGATAGTTTTAAGGCAAAGCAAAGCATGAAACGCTCTTATATTGTCTGAATTCTCTGCACCCATTTTGAAGCAGACATTCAGAAGCATATTAACAGAAGAATATCATTGGCCCTGTTCTTGTCATATTAACCGAACCTGACCCAGTTTCTTGATCTGGCTAAATTAAGCAAGAAAAGAAGTGTTCTTGTCATGTCTTTGGAAGGACCTTGATGCACTGGAAAGCCAGACAGAATCGCCAACTTGGAGGAGGGCCTTTGTCAGTGTCCAAGTTGCATAATCAACATCACTGTGTGTCTTTTTGTCATGGCCATGATCTTGACGTTGGTTTCTGACGATTTTAGAGAGAGAGAGAGAGAGAGAAAGTTCATATGTGTAGTTCAAGATGCATTCTTCCTTACCAAACCTGAGTTGGATGAAATCTCCATTGTTCTTGTAAGTTTTGGTGACATATTGTATATCTCTTTACACTATATCTCCTAATTGCATATGTACACGTGGCTTTTATGGTGTGTATATATATATTGCAATTCATGTGCAGATATCTTTGAACTGGTTCTTCTTTCAGTTCTCCTGCACGATATCTTGCCGCCTTTTCCTTGTCTTTTCTCATGTCTTCCCTTTTCCTTAGAATAAGATTTTTAAAATCAAAAGCGGATTCCTCTGTCTTGAATTTGCGTTTGAAAGTTGGAAAGAAAACGAGAATCTGAAAGATCAAAGCAAACATAGCTACCAGTCAAGAATTTTTTTTTTAAAAAAGCACGTGATATATTATAAACTATCATATATATTGACAAAATATCGATTCACTTTCAACGATATTTGGGCGTTACATTGACAGAAATTTTCATCGGATAATGTCCATGCTACATATTTAATCCATGAATGAAACCGAAAAAATAAAAATAAAAACAGAAACAACATCTCCCCGAAGAAATCAATCACAGGAACTCATGAGCAGCTGTTCCAAGAACTCAGCGCCCAAATCTTCAAGAACCAGAAGTGTGCCATTACCAGTTTCTTGATTTGTCGTGTCTTTGCTTCCTTTTCTGCCCCGAGGCCGGCTTTGGAGGGAATGTATCCGTTTCAAGGCCATGACAGGGGACCCTCCGTCGAATAGATTGAGGTTTTGGAGAGATTCTCTGACCACATGGACCGGGAAATTCAGAACGGCCAAGGCGCCTTTGAGGGCGAAAGCCGCTTGGTCGTAGGCCAAGGCCGCTTCCTCGGCCGTGTCGAAAGTTCCGAGCCATACCCTTCTCCCGTTCCTCGTCGAATCCCTTATCTCGGCCGCGTATTTCCCCCACGGACGTCTCCTCACTCCTCTGTACGATCTCTCTCCTTTCCCCTTCGATATCCCTTCCACATTATATTCCTCTCCTTTGATCGTTTGGTAGCGATTAGGGATGGAGAGTCCGGATTCTCCTTCGAAGAAGAATTCGTCACTCCAAAAGAGCGATGACGTTTCTTGTGAGCTCAAGGAAGAGGATGAGGAAGAGGAGGAGAAATCTTGTCTTTGATAATTTGGAAATAAGGATGATTCCATTTCTTCTTTCTCTCTCTCTTGTGTGTTTTTTTTGGCAGTGGCATTGAGTTTGAAAATAACGTAACCTGTGTATATATATATATATATATGGAATTAAAAGAGATTGGACATTTGAAAATTGGGAAATATTAGAAAATATAATTGGTTATTAATATTATTTTTTGTTGGTGGAGTCGAAGGAGGCTGCCGTGTTTATAATCTCCCCTTACGTAATTATCGAATTAAATAATTCGATGTAATTTAAGAGATATGATAAAGAAAATGCAAGATGGTAATAGGATCTCTAGCGAGGCGCCGGGCGGAGAGTTTCGGTTATTCACCACGTGGGTCAACACAATGTTTGGAATGACGACCGGCGGCGGGATTCCGACAAGGTACCTGACATAAGCTGATGATGACATGGCACAGATCTGCCACGTCGGCTTTACCCATCTCCTGTGGGACCCACTCAACCATGGTCCGGGCTTGGGCTTGCGTGAAGAAGCGGCAACGGCCAGGAAAAAAATTTCAAAATCATGGCGGATTATCATACGTTAGTAAAATGTAAGGGTAAAAATAAACATATTTTATTTGAAGCACTGTAAAATCACGGAATATTATGGCTGAATATTATTCTTCACGTATTTCCTTTCATTGCTTGTAGAAAAGTATTCTTATGGCTTGAAATGATAAAATCATATTATATAATATCATATAATCAAACGGATTAATTTAATTTGTTTGTTATAAAAGTTTTCTTAATGAAAGCAACGACCTTGACCAAATATGAATAAAAATTAACAGTAAAACGTCACCAAGTTAATAATATTTGGTTAAATCTTATTTTTTTACATTAACTTACACTAATTCTTATTTTATTTTTCTGTGGAATCAAAGGATTTGATGCCAAATCAGCCAAGGGATTGTTTTATGTGGATAAATGTTAGTTATCATATAGAAAGTTTTGATATGATGGACCACAAAAATATATAGTTATCATATTCCAACTTGAAATAAAATAATAATAAAATGTAATTGACAGAGAAGGTGCAATGAACACTTCATCCCTCGTTCATCATCTTTTTTTTATCTCACTTTCTGCCAACTCTTAATTAGCAATTTAGCCCAAAAATGGGTAAAAACCCTAAAAAACCTTCAATTTGTAAAAATATATACTAATAAACCTTTAATTTGAAAAACTGTCATTCAATCTCAGAACTTGTAATTTATCACTGAATAAAACCTCGAACTTGCAAATTATTGCTCTAATAAACCTTTGACCGGTTTGACCACAATTTCAGACGATCGAAAATCCACGTATTAACGGATTACTGATATCACCTTATATACGTTGTCAATTTTAATTTAAAAAATGACATCAGCAATCCGTCAATACATGGATTTCCGATAGTTTGAAATTGTGGTCAAACCGGTCAAAGGTTTATTAGAACAATAATTTGCAAGTTCGAGGTTTTATTCAGTGATAAATTACAAGTTCGGAGATTGAATGACAATTTTTCAAGTTAAAAGTTTATTTGTATATATTTTTGCAAATTGGAGGTTTTTTAGGAGTTTTATCCCCAAAAATTTTATTTGGCATGATGCATTTGAGTATAAATAATTTTTACCCCATAACAACAAAATGAAATAAGGAAAAATATATTTGATTGAATAATGGTTTGTGCATTATAAAACTCACAAAACCAAGACGTTGGTATTTGTTAATTTGGAGTGGATAATATAACTGATCAACTTTGCAATATAATAGTTTTAAATTAAATGTGTAAGTGTATATATAGATGTATACGTATATATCAATAGATTTCTGAGATGCTTGAATTTCTTTATTTATTTTGTTTGTAAAATTTCGAGCGTTTATTTACGCTATTGCTAAAATAATTGGAAAGCTTTGACAATATTTTAATCGGTGTGACGAGTCCGAAAAAAAATAAAAAAAAATGGATGGTTTATCCGGCAGGGGAAAGCAAGTGCATGAATCTTCTTTTATGGCACGTGACAAATTCGTTTCGTGACTCAAAACACTTTGGAGTGATAGATAGATCTCTTCTCGAGTATATTATAATATTAAATATTACGCCACCATGAGAGAAAAACAATAATATAAAAATTAAAATTAACTGAATTTAACACTACAGTCGAAAACCCACCACATACGTACGTACGTACATACATACACATATAAATATACATATATACACACAACATCATCATCATCATCATCATCAAGCAATCTTTGCATTCCTTGACCAAATACAAGAATGTATTCTGTATTCATGCTGAATACGAAAGAGATGCTTCAGATTTGCATGTAGATAAGGTGTTTGTTCATATTCGACTCATAATTTGGGCAAAATTCACTTGGTTTTATCATTCAGGTCCGCGATTTGTTTTCCAAAAAATTATTATTTTTAAATATTTTTATAATTCTTAAAATATTTTGCATTGTTATATTCGGCTCAACCAACTCGCGAACTAAGACGATTTGGGTCGAACCATCGTGAAAAACCGGTCAAATCGGGTCCAGAACGGGCCGGTTCGGGCCGTTTTGCATCCCTAATACCAGTGCACAACGTTAAGCATAGCTCTTCAGTGAAATAATTTGCTCTATTTGGTTAGAAAGACATCATTCATGTCCAATCAGGAACATGCTTCAACATATTCAGAGTTTGGTTATGAGACAAAGCTGCAACTAAAAGAAGGCAAGAACGTGAACCCTCTTAGCAAAGCAAGAACAACCAAGATCGCGTGATTAAGAACAGAGAGCTTTTTCACAAGAATCAGATCATCCGGCGAGCAGAGTTCAGTTCAAAGAAGCTAGCAGAAGATTCTGAATCAAGGAAACTAAAGAGTTTACGATATGAGGTATAGAAAGGGTACCGCTTTGATTTTGTTCTTGGTGAGATCTTCAGGTAAGGAAGCTCAGTGCGGAAGCTTGGTTTTGTTGGGCAAAGGCAATGCCTTTGACGGGAGATGATTTACGGCAGCACCTCGGGCCTTCAACCGCAGTTCCTCGAGTAGTCTTTTCGCTTCTTTCAGTTCATCTATTGCCCCGTCTCCGTGGTTGTCCCATGCATCGATAACTCTCTGTTGGAACTCTATTGCAAGTCCATAGCTGTAATTTTTCAGACACGAAAAAACCCGGTTATGTATAGGCATATCGACAGTGGATGAACTTGAGATATCGGATACCGAAAAGATCTTCCTTTTCCTTACTTTCCCATGGATCCATAAGCTTTGGACAGATTCTGGCATGCATCGATTGAATCTGCATGGTTTGGACCAAGGGCTACATCCATGATGTCCTTGGCAACTGCAAACATCTGAGCTGCAGATTGCGGCCTTCCGAGCTCTAAGTAAGCTGCTCCTAAATTGTTATAAACATATCCAACTCCAAAGTGTTTGGACCCGAAGCTTTCCTTCAGCCTCTCGGCTGCATTCTCCAGATACTGAACTGCCTGAGAGACGTTACCCGTAAAGAGAAGCAACCACCCGAGCCTCGCGGAGACGCTTCCCTCAGAGTGCTGTTCTTGAGCGAGGTTCTCTAGTATGCCCAATGTCTTCTTTAGTAACGAAATTGCGGTCTCGAATTCATTCATTGACTCGTACTGCATTGCTACCTCGGAGTATGCCTCCGCAACTTCCACGGGGGATACGGTTTCCTTCTTCTCGAGAATCCCGCAAGCAATTTCCAAACACTTCTTTGAATCAGCCTGCTTCTCTTGATTTCCCAATGCCTTTGCCATGGATATGAACACCATAGCTCGGGTCTCGCTCTCCTTTTCTGTTTGTTGGACCATGCCCTTTAACGTATCGATGGCCTCTTCGTATTTGCCCAATGCAATTTGCATATTTGCAGCATCGATCTCTGCACGGAGCAACTCCGAGTTCAATCCCCAGTTCTTCAACACCCTCTGAGACAGCTCGTTCTGTTCCAGTGCCTTGTCATGCTGCTCTAACCCGGTATAGATCACGCCGAGAATTCTCCTGTCGTGAGCAACCTCGGCCGAGTTATTACCCAATGCCTTCCTGTGTATCTCCAATGCCTTCAACGCATATGGCAACGCCTCGTTGAAATTCAAAACCGCGACATAGGCTTCAGCCAGATTCCTATTAGCCACACCCAATTCCCTACTATCTTCTTCCAAAGTCACCTCCTTTATCTCCAGACACTTCTTGAGATTCTCAAGAGCTTCCTCTCGTCTTCCCATGGCGTTCTTAACATTCGCCAGCTCGAGCTGTACCGCGTGGAGCACAGGCTTTAAGTCTTCTACACTATCACCCTCTGCCTCCAATCTACTCAGAATCCGATTTGCTTTGTTAAGATATCCTAAACTATCACTAAACCGTTTCAAGCCATAATTAGCGGAACCTATCAATTGCAACGCCATGGCCATAAGCAGAGAAGGTTTATCGTCCTCGCAGAAAGATTTAAGGGCTTTATGGGCATAAGTCAGAACCTTTTCGGGGTCCTCACCATCGCGGTCGAGCTGAAGCCCTAGTTTCAGAGAAGCTAAGCCCAGCTCCTTCTCCTCGAACGACGACTCCATCTCTTTGAACAGTTTGAGCATCTCATCGGTGGTCTCCGCCGACTCGAACGCCTCCTCAAGATCGTCTTTTTCCTTCCTTTTCATCTGCCTTGACGACAGCTGACTCGGTTTCTCGACAAGGGTGTCCAAATTCCGACATGGGTTCTCCCGAAACCCACCCCTGTTGATGATCAGACCATGGGTTTTGCCGCAAGTGGTGATTTCGCGACTGGGGGAGATGGGAGAAAGCGAGGAAGCAGAGACTGCATCGGAGATGTAGTTTAGTTGAACACGAGGGGAGTTGGGTCTGAAATTGCGGATATTGAAGCGAGAGATTAGAGAAATCGAAGCTCTTTTCATGGTGGAAATCGAGAACTGCGTCGAAATCTCGTTTTCTTTTTTCTGGTTGATTAGAAATCTTGCTAAACCTTGGCATAAACCCTTAAAAGCTGTACTCATTCACAAATGACCCGAAGAGAAAGAAAAAAAACCTGAAAACACCGTTGCGTCGGGAAAAAAAATAAACCTTTGTTTTTTTTTTTTTTGTAACCAAAGACCGGAAGAGTGCATGGAGACAAACCGATTGAACTTCTGGTCCTAAAGCCTCCACATTCTGCAAATACACAAATGTATACACTGATCAGTTCCGATCAAAAGGATGTGTTATATCAAATTTCAACCTCATAAACACCATGTGTAAGGTTTGTTTTCTGCAACTTTGCATGGATTTTAGATTCTGTATCATTCTTATACCAACGATCTGACAAGAATCCTTATATATATACACAACAAAGAATTGAACAACGTTTATTTTAGCATGTTTCTAATCCAAAGAAACGTGTACATGCATCCCCTTTTCTCCACCAGAAACCCTCAAAAACCTTATCCAGAATTCAATTCCATTTTTCATCCCAAACCAGGTGGGTCTTGAGGATCCAGGATTAAAGAAGTTTCTGGAGGTCTAGAACTATATACATCGTCGAAATGGAGATTCATGCCGGCTTCAATGTTATCGTCTATGTACGTGGTTTTGGACAACCTCCTTCTGGCACTTCCCCAGTCAAAGAACTGTCCTTGTTCTGCTTCTTCCTCTTCTTCTATGCTCCTGTCTGATGAGTTGTCGAACAAGTTTCTAGATGGGTAAGGCTGGAGGAAATCGGGTGGCTCCATGAAGCTTATTTCCGGGTGAGCAGTACCGTGAGGACGCCATCCTCTGTCCCACCAGTGGCTCCTACCTGCAGTATTTCCATTGCTACCCATCTCATGAGGGTGATGCAGAATGCTCTCCTTGAAGAACTGGCCTGATGTCGTTGCCTCCATGCCGGAAAGCTCCCTGTTATCATTCAGCCGGGCTTCCCAGGATAAGTCGGCGTTGAATCTTCCCTCTTCTCGCCCCGCGTTAGGAGGTGCCCAGAATTCTCCAGCGTTTAGATCCGTGGGCAACACTTCATCGTCTCTCGGGTAGTTGTGCAAGAGGGAATTGTTTCTACCATTAGGCTGAGAAGTGTAATACCAGTCAAGAAGATAGGGGTGATTCCTCTGATCCGGATCCATCAGCCACAATGAATCAGTGTAGTAACCTCTCGTGGTCATGCTTCTTGGAATTTCTCTGCGAGTAGTGGTGCTGTCTATTCGGCCACGAATAGAGAGACCTTCTCTTGTGTTTAACCCATGAAGCTTCTGGTCCCGGAAAGTTCTGAGTTTTGAGAGAAACTCCTTTCCTTCAGAAGTTGGTTCCCAGGAAGGATAGCTACTCTGGAAACTGCAAACAGATCAAGTGGATCGATTGTTCAGACAGGACATACTACCAAATCTGCAGATGTTACAGAAACAACCGAATATGTCAGACGATGCAAGCAGAAGTTCGATGATGCTCCCAACCTTAAGAACGATTTCTCCATCTTTCCCTGAGAGCTCCTCTGCTCACGAGGTACATCGTGTGGTGAACCATATTTGACATTTCCATGGTGCTCAAAGTCAAATGCACTAAAACTGCGAGAGGAAAGGCTGAGGATCAATACCATTCAAATATCGTTTCCAATGAGGAATGAGCTGAAAATGATTTATCATCAATGTTTTAAGAGCTATTCATGAGGAACAGAGGAATAGAAAGAGTTGATTAACCTGCAAACATGACCTACACCTTCAATGTCAACCGTGAAATCCCCGATGAACTGCAGTATGTCATCAACCCGCTGCAGAATAAACCCAAAATGTTTCAACACATCATTCAATCACCAATGGAAATGAAATATTAAATGATAGAGAAACGTGAAGAAAAAACAATGAGAAATAAACCTTCGGTACAACAAACATAAGCAAAAGCGGTGTAAGGAAGATCGAAGCTGTCTCCTCCAGTAGCATCATTCCGGTATACTGCATTGCAAAATTTACAATTGAATCATGAAATACTCGGGGTAGTTGTTCAGAAACTAGCAATGACGAACAAGAGAAATAAGATCATGTTTATTGGTACTGTAGAGTGTAGAATCAAAGAAGAACAAGAAACCTACATCATGGAATTAAGGAACTGTAAATAGCTTGTCCTATTGCCGCCACAGAAGCTTCATGAGAAGAAAACAGAAATTAGGACTTAAAAAACGTTACCTGAAACAGAGTCTCAAACTCCATACGAACATCGTCTGTATTTTCATTACCACGCCATCTCTTAGGCATATAGTGGTTGTGTTGGACAACCAAAGACATAGTTCCTACTGGGTCAAGGACCAAAAGTTCATCTGAAATGGCTGCCCGGCTGATAGCTGTAATAGCTCCGAAAACAGCAGCATACCATAACAGGTTGCGTCCAAATATCTATACATGGAAAATAATAGATTGCAATCCACAAGATAATGACCAATATAATATGCATATAAATGCCTTTAGGTTGCCAGGGATTCTTACATGGCCCTCGAGAAGATCTTCTTGGAGAAACGCAATGATGATTAATACAGCAGTAAAGCCACCAGAAACAAATGAAATGAACTTGGCAATAATGGAGATGATGGGCGATGGGAATTGCTTCAGATATTCGGAAGCATGCACTATACTGCTATTAATCCGGTGCTTGAATAAATGGTCAACCTGTCATACCAACAAACAGTAGAGATATATAAAAAACAGTACGTCCTCTAAGTTTCACTAAAAAAAGTGAATTATATTCTTCAACGTTAACGAGAAATCTCAGTTTTGGCTTTTGGGTACAAAGGCCAGATGAAGGTAAAACCACATAACTCCAGCCTTTTGAAGTATAATACCTATACCTCGTTGAATTCCCTGAAGAGCCACTTTGACAAATTGGACCATCTTCGAGAAGATGCAGTACTTGGATGATTGTAGAACTGCTCAGCATGCTTTAGGAATAGATACACTAACATAAAGATGACAAGAAAAGGCGACAGAAGAAGCATTGCAAGCCCCACCACAAACAGCCGTTTCTTCAAAGTTCTTGGGTTTGAAACAAATTCCCTTCTTACCCGGAAGTTCCTGCAGAATGAACATATCTCTATTAGAAATAAATGAAGAATCCTTTTCATAAGACATATTTCAAATTAGAAGTCATACCAGTCCACAATCTAACATACAAGTAAGAATAAAAAGATTGATGTATATGTGAAGGCCATGTCTTCTGGACATCTTAACTAACTTGAAATGTCAATTAAGATTGAGCAATATGGAGTCCCAGGTACATAAAATCTATAATCCAGGTTTGTCACAAGCACTTCAAAAAGCATCCAACCTAGACTCACAACAAAAGATTAGAACTCAGCAAGCAAAACACAACCTCTTTATTCTTAAATACTAAAAACTCATCTACAAATGCAAAACCCACCTACTACTCTACTTTCAAGCTTCAAAAACCCATTACATGCAAAAACATAATAAGGTAGAGGATTTTGGATCCATAGCCATACAAAGGGATGAGTTCACTATACTCAAAATTTCAGCTACTGAATGCAAACCCACCCACTACTCTAATTCCAAGCTTCAGGAAACGAATACATGTAGAAAATAAAGGTAGAGGAATTCGGATGCATAACCATACAGTGTGATGAGTTCCCTCTCAGATCAAAGATAGCCCGGAAAATATCATACCGATCAAACATGCTCTGCAGTATGCACCAGTTAAGGGTCCATTCAAGGGTTTTTGTCAATACAAGGCGAAACGGTGTGCCATCTGGTGCAGATTTGACTATTGGACCGGCACCTGGGATCCAATGGGAAATTGGGAAAGAAAGCACACCCTTGTTGAGCATTCCAATCAAGTAATTTTCCTTCCGCATGAGGCGCATAACAATATCATGAGCCGATAGATCCTTAACCACACAAAGGGGTTCTGAACGTTGCAACTGAACGACCTTTTCAATGACAGCTGCCCAAGGCATGGTTTGGATTTCATTGTCAGTGACATGGAGACTGCAAAGATAAAATGAAAAGAGAACAAACTGTGAATTGAAACCTTTGGTTTATAACAATAACTATTTCTAACACGTAAGCCTTTTCAAGTACCTGTTATAATAAAAGTGCCGAATGCACAAAGTATCCTTCAACTGAGCAAAAAACCTCAAGAAGCAGAAGATCCAGTATATAGAGAAAAGAACCAAATATCCGACAATTATAGCCTTTTTAGGCGTAAAAGGGGATAAAGGATGCTGATAAAGAGCTTCTTTAATGAGATCACATGGCTTAGTTCCTGATTCAACTGCATCCATTCCACATTTTGCATTTCGGAGGCCTTCCCAATTTACATACAACAAGAAAAAGCCTGAGAAGCATATGGTGAAGCCAATGCTTAGAAGTTCAACAGCCCATTTTATTATAATGCACCAAAGTCCTTTGTCGCAGTAATAGCTGTACAGCCTTTCGAAAAAGAGATCCAGATCAGCAATCAGTTCAACATTTAAACTTTCTCCATTAAGAAGGCCCGAAGGGCTCTCGCTACCAGGACTTGGTATTCCTCCATAGTTAGAAAGCTCAATCTCATTAGGCACATTATGAAGCAAGCTGGTGGTCAAAGATGACGATTCATCACGTTGTTTCCATTTGAAAAGGCTGAAGGAATTTGGAGCCTTTTGCCTAGTGTACATCATTCATAAACACAGACAATTGGCCAAAAACTCCAGTCCATTCCCCCAATTATCACGTCAAAATTTTAGGAGCATGGAACCCAAAAGAGGCGCAAACAATTCTGTGAATTAGAAAACATGAATCCTGCATCATGCAGAAAGACATAAGTTATCTACAGCCACAAGTAATTAGTAAGAAATTATGAACAAATGTTTGCTAACTATGTGACAGCTCTTCTGTGCGAGCATAAAGCATCCTATCATGTCCAGTGACGTGTTTAAACTACAAGCACATACACTCCAATGCAGTAACCGATGTGAAATATCGAAATGTGAAATTATGGAAGCAGAAAGCCCGATACATATGAACAGGAACAAATAAAATAGACACTATACAGGTGTTTGCATTATACTTCATGCATTGCCAGACATCAGTTACTACAAAAGAGATGCCTTGACTATGGTCAATACCCAAATTACTATCCCATTCATTTGTCCTAGCAGTGCAGCAATCAATGCATCAACTATAAGGACAATACTAGAAAGAAAGGTTTGCCAGGACATTTGATAGCACTGAGAGATCAGATAACAGATGAACTATTAACTGTAAGACTGAAAAAATTTAACTTTCCCGCTCGTCCTCTCCCAAAAACTAAACTATCAAACTCTCCTAACTAGCCTCATTGCAATTATATATCTCCACAAAAGTACTAGGCACCTCGTACATAACACAATGGTTCGAACGAGAGAGAACGACAGACGTTGAAACAACATTCACGCAACAGAGTCTTATAGAATATGCCTCGATCAAGCCGACTTCCCTACAGATTATAAAATCCACTAAAAGGAGAATCAAGAACGAACTTTCTCGATAAAACAGCACGGTACCTTCGGTTACCCCCTATCTAGTTTAGACCGGTACCCTTCCTTACCCAATTTGGATTTTAGACGCCAAACCCAATACCCAAAACCAGCGGCAAACAAGGTAAATTTCCAAACACACAACCCGATTCCCCTCAAAATCACTATTCAATCAACAAAATTCGAACTTTTCGATCATAACCGCTGAAAAGATCAAAACTTACCGCGACCCACGAAACCAACAGTTGCAAGAAATCTGTGAAAGCGAAGTTCAGTAGCACCCATCAAGAGCAAATAGCCCACGCAAAGTGAAAAACCAAACTAAAAGAGGAAAAAATCAAGCGTTGGATCCCTTTGGGTGTTGTGAAATTCAATCGGTAGCTTGAAAGGACAAGCAAATTGATCGACGATCAAACACGAAGGGCGAGAAGGGGATTTGGGTTACGTGGAAGGAAAAGGAACTTATATATTTATTCCCTCTTCCTGGGGACTATCGCTTTTCTTCTCCGTTCCCAATTCTTCCCGTCATTGAAGAACTTAACCAAAGAAACGTGTTCTCAAGCTCTTTCTTTCCTTTTTTTTTTCCTTTGGAGATATTTTTTTAAAAATCTCGATTCCTTCGTCAAGTAGAAAAGTGACCTGGGTTCAACCCGGATCCGGAACCGAAAATGCCTTATTTGGGCCTATTATTGGGCCTTATGGGCTTTTCAGGAAGTTCGTTTTGCAGGTTCTCGCTATTCCCATCTTGGATCCGCCCAGTCATGTTACCAAACAAAGACGGACGATCATCTAAAACCCGCGGGAAGGAACGGGAAGATTTGGCGGGAGTACCACGTGGTATCTAACCACGTCGGATCCAGGTAGGATTTCCCGCCATTTATCCCCTCTCGTATGAGACGAAAAACCCTTCGTCTTCGTCTTCTTGCTCACGCTCTCCATCTCTCTCTCACTCGCACACACAGTCGATCATGAGTTCGTCGAGTTCTTCTCCATCCATACCTTTTAGATCGAAGAAACGGCTGTTGGATTCTCCATGTCCGAAGGCTGAGCGGAAAAACTCTAATTCGACGTCGATGGATTTACCCACGCCGGAGAAGCCTCCGGAGAACATGCTCACCCGATCGAGGAACCGAGGTATCGCTCTCTCCGTGAAAGAGATTCGCCAAGCCGCTGATTCCCGTCGCAGATCTGAGTATCCGAAGGTGGAGACCAGATCGGCTAAGAACAAACTCGTATTTCCGTCCAGTGATTCCTCTACTTCGTCGCCCTGTGAGCGGAAAATCGGTACATTGAGTGGGGGGAAGGAGAAATTGCCAGAGAAGTAAGATTGCGTTAGGGTTTTGTGTTTCCATTTTGCCCCCTTTTGTTATTCTTATTGTTTGGGTTTGTTGATTGGGTTTGGATTTTTCCAGGTACGAGACGTTGGCTGAATTCTTCGATGGCCTGGATAACGCAATCCGATTATCAAAATTGAAAAATTCGATGCCGACATTTTCCAATATTTCTGCGAAAATCGAGTATTTAACTGAGAGGTAATCCTAGAAATTCTCATCTGAAATTCGTTCATGGCTCTATTTCCGGTGTTTTTACTTATACATTTGGGGAAGAAGAAATGAGCTTTTAGTTTCAGCAGAGTTTACTTGGGATATTGTATTAGATTAGTTATCCTTGTGATTATGAATCAAATTCGGTTCCATCAGAAACAATTAGGTATCTGGACTTTTGGTGTTAGTGCCCTGAAATCGACTAATTCGTATCAGGTTTCTGTGAAACTGAATCCTTTGTCAGAATTTTTTCATGGGATCAATCCTCACGCTTTTGTGATTTTTTCAGGAGGTTTTTGTACTGTCACTTGGCTCAGATGAAGCACATTTTGCCAGAGGCTATCGAGATTAAGCGAGTACTGACGCTCGATGAGAAAACTAGTTGCATGAAACCCGACCTTCATGTCACTCTCAACCCCGACGCAATTTTCGCTGACAAGTCTAATTCAGAGAGCAAGAACATCAACCTCCGGAAAGTGTTCCGAGCAAGACTTGCAGATTTTGTTAAAGCTCACCCTCAGGTATGCCTTGATGTTCTGTTTGTTGAAGACTTCTGATCTTTTTTATTATGGTAATGTGTTAAACAAGACTAGACTCTGTTCATTGAATTTGGAGTACTGATGGTGTTTTGTCTGTTTAGGATGAGGAAGTTCCTGAAGAACTGCTGCCTGAACCTTTTAATAGAAAGAAACAGAATGAAGGTTCAACTGATGAGGCGGTCTCCTCGTCCTTGGTTGACGAGCACTCAGCTTCACATCCATTTCTGTCTTTCCAGGAGAATAACTCCAATGAGAAAACGGTCTCTGCTGGCTTATCTAGCACCAAGAGATCTACAGTTAAATCATCGTCCTCCTGCCCAACTGGAACCCTTTTGCAAGTTAGCTCTCCCAATGACGAAATGGCTTCAACTCCAGCTAAACCATCGTCATCTCAGTCTCGAGTTGCTTCAACTCCAGTTAAACCGGTGGCAACCCCAGCTAAAGTAGATTCAGCCTCGGTGGTAGTAACACCGGCTAAAGTTGCATCAACACCTGTTAAAGCCGCTTGTACTCCTCCTGAACTTGCTTCAACTCCTGCCCGGCTGATCGGGGCCTCGCTAGTGGCACAGCCACAGAAAGGAAGTGCTCATGCCAGAGTTGACGATTCTTCTGCTAGCCCTCCAAATAAGCTGATGAGGCGTCCTTCTGCGCTAAGGCCTCTGAATTTTGATGGCTTTACAGAGGACAAGAAAGCTATGGAAGTAGCGGATGATGAAATCGCTAATGAAGCATCAGAGGAAGGCACATCCATTGACGATGATATCCTCCAAATTCTTCCTGATACCCTCCTACAATCAGTAAGACTTCTCTATCCTCTTCTGCACTCATAATTTACATTCTGCTTGTTGCTTCAATGCTTTTTAGAATTTAGAAGACACTGAATTTCTAAAGTCAATTTCAGTGTTGTCAACGGGTTTGTTTTAGGGGGTACTTAGTAACGTTGAAATCTTGAAATAGCTTTGATTTTCTCTCTTTAATTGATAGAAACCAGAAGTAATTGTTTACGGTGTTGTTCGAGAGCCATATGTCACCTGCAATATTGCTTTCCTGCAATATTGCTCTGTATATTAATCAACTAATTATCTTTTGTGATGATGATCTAACATTTCCTCTCTTCAGATTCGGGAACAAGAGAAGAAGGCGATAGAGGATCAAGATCCAGCAATCTCACAGGCGAAGAGGCGGCGTAAGATGATTGCCTGTCTGCCTAGACTGTTCAACGTCACTCATTTCTTGTTTCAGTCGATAAGGCGGTCAGTCATCACGAAAGAAGAACTCGTGCACAAGATTATCGCGGGCCATTCTGATATTTGCGACAGAAGTGAGTACCTTACACCAACTTCTAACCAAGTATCAAGCATATATATCTATCTATCTATCCATCCTTCGAAAAGATTTTGTGAGTGTTTAGAACCATCCTAACTTTTCTGTGAAATTGCGAATTTGCAGGGGAGGTAGAGGAACAGCTAAACTTAATGCTAGAACTAGTTCCAGATTGGATTACAGAGAAAAGATCATTCAGTGGGGATCTTCTAGTATGGTGAGTACTGATGAGACCAGACATACACGCATGCTTACACCCTCCTTTTTTTTCGGTTTCTTCCCGTTACTCAACTGTGATAAATATTGTTGTTGTTGTTTTGTTTCATGCAGCATAAAGAAAATGGCATCCCCTGAATCAATTAGAGCTCGCCTAGAAGAAGAAAGCAGGCAAGGAATGGCTCCAGTTTCTTGAGATCATCTCAGATGGGAGGGAGGCCGTTGGCTTTTGGACAACCTCGGATCAGATGTTATGCTAGGTCAGTTAGTAGGGGGCTTCATGTATTTATTGTATGAACACTAACCCTCGGATTAACTTGTATGTCTATAAGAAATCATATGGTAAAACCCCATAAGTTAATCGTTAAACCAAGTTTTAGGAGATAGTTTTCAAGATTAGCAGCCAAAGCATGTTTTTTTCTGTAACAAGGAACCCTCCGAGAAAACGAATCTTTATTCAGAGGAAATGTGAAAGGGAAAGTGAGAGGGTTCTGGTTCTTTTCCCTTTTTCTGCTCTGCTCTCTTTTCTGTACCTCTTTTATTTTTTTGCTAAAAAAGTTCGAAACTTCAAATCTCAGTATAGTTTTTGTACTGTTGTGATAAATATCAATATTTACATTATAGAAAAAATAATATTTTTCTATTAGAATTTAGTAAAATGTGATATTTTTATATACATATTTTTAATTTCACAAAAAAAAAATTCAAATATCTATACGAATTAATTATATATATATATATATAATTATCATTTTTGTTAACATTTTTTAGATTCTGTTAAGTAATATACTGACGTGTATGATAGTTATAGTAATTATCTAACTAATGGATTAGTTAACAGAATTCGAAAATTTTTAACGAAAATGATGATTATGTATGTAATTATTGTTAATTTTAATAATTTATGTAGATATTTGGAAAATTTTAAATTTAAGTCTAATTTTTTGTCAAATTAAAAATACATGAATGAAAAGATCATATTTTGCTAAATTCGTATAGGAAAATGTTATTTTCTCTATATTATATAATATTTCAAATTTATGTTTCTAAAAGCTTTAATGGAAGTGACTTTTGAAGTTTTTAAAATCTAAAAACCAAAACATTGACAATAAGCTTTTATAAAAGAATTTTTTTCAGAAAATTTGAAAAGCCACTTTTATTGAAAAATCAACTAAAAATTAAAAATTCTTTTTTTTATTTACAAAAATCAATAACCAAAAACAAAAAACTCAAACAAAAAATTCAAAATAAAAGTTACTACCAAAGACTAAATTTTCGGTGCGGTTATGTGATATGATGTTACTTTTTTATAATAATCTGGAAGATTAGCGGGTTTTAGATTCAATTCAATTATATCTTTCAAAAGATTTGGAAAATTCGAAAAGAGTTTTAGGTAAGCATGACAAATCAAAATGAAACCTAACCCATTCGTGGTTTGGTCTTAATATTAATTACCATTAATTTGCCATCACATGAATTCCTTAATGTCCACTTAATTAAACCCAATATATAATTTCATGAACCCCATATGCTAGAGGTCGGTCATCGTTGTAGCATCTAGCCATCTCTGTCTTTGCTACCTATATTAATTAGTCTATATTTGAATTTGACTATGCAATCCATTCCTTTCTATTTGATTTGTCAAATAAAATAACCTTTTTTACACTTAATTAAACTCAAAATCAAAAGGTTTACAATCTAGCAGTATTATCACTTAATTAAACTCAAAATCAAAATCAAAAGATTAAATTCGGGTTTTTTAAATTATATACATTTATTTGATTTTTAGATGATTTTAATTTGAGTTCGAATTCTATTCCGATTTGTTTGAATTAGTTTTTCGAAAAATATTGATTTAAATAGAATAATTTTCACTCAATTTTTTATATTCCAGTTTTAGAAAATCAAATCCGATCGATTTTAGATTTGATTTAATTCATCCGTAAATGTTCACCCCTAATCACCAAATAATTTACTAAAATTGAATCTTCTTTCGCCAAAAAAAAAAGAGACCCTGAAAATTCATCTTATAAAAAGTTTTGTTTTCATTGTGTTCTTTATTTAAAATCTAGGGTTTTTTTTTTACATTTTGACAGAAATTAGGCTTTGTTATATATATATATATATATATATATATATTATATTTCAAATCAGAAGTTGTTGCAAAGGTAGTAAGGATTTGGATTCTTAAGAGTCAATAAACCAAATGATTAAAAAAATGTCAGAAGAAGAAAAGGATGGGGAAGACAAATGGGAATGTAGAGTAAGGGAGTGGGATTTTCTTTGAAATGCAAATAATCATTAGATTCCCCTCTCCATAGATTTTGTATGGACCACTGCTCTATATCTCACACATTCCATTTCTTCTTCTTCTTCTTCTTCTTCCCCCAAAGAATAATAATATAGAAAATCATATTTTATATATATATATATATATAAAGATTGCAACCTTTGCCACTCTTTTAAGCAATTTCTGCCCCGGTTCCCTTTCTAGACATACCTCTAATCCCAAGTTTAAAAAGCCTCTGTGCCTCCATTTTAAGATTGGCATATTCACTTTTTGGTACAAGAATATATATACATACATACATATATGTATGTATGTATGTATCATGTCATGTCATGTGAACAATGTTATTGCAGTGTTGGAAGTGAGGTCCTAATTTTTCAAAAAAAAAAAGACAAATAGCAATTGGATGAAATATACTAAAAGTATAATTAGTTAGGGAAAATGCAAATCTAATCCTTGACATCTTTCCACTTGCATGAATTTCAAGCCCACATAGCCTGCCTTTACAAATCACAGAGAGAGAGAGAGAGAGAGAGAGAGAGAGAGAGAGAGAGAGAGAGAGAGAGAGCTCAAAACATTAAAATCACTAACGAAGAGGACTAATGAAAAAGCAAAACCAATACAAAGATTCGCATGTTTCTCAAAAGGTAAACCCCGGAATCAATGCCATTATTTGTATTCCTTATATCATATACACATAAATAATGTATGGATAGACGTTACACAATATGAACACATTAGATTTGATTTTATGCCCTGATTTTAAGTTTCGGACTCGCAACATTGTATGCATATTTTAGAATTAGCGTACCTTGTTCTACTTAAAATCTTTCATTTGGCGTTACAAATACAATTCTGTAAAATTTAAATTATTTATTCGTTACCTTTATTTTTTATTCATTTTAATCAAAGTACAAACATGACACCATACTTGCATCATAATCTCACAGCGCATCAGTATCATCACCAATCATGATAGAGGGTGAATAGTTTGATAATTAGTGCATGAAATTTAGGTTTATAATATTTATTATTTCTGCTTTTATATACATACATATATATATATATTCACGTAATATAGATATTTTAGGATCATATACTAATCGCCACAATGAAAATTAACGGATGATATTTAAAAAAAAAACGCTGGATAATAAACATTAGTGGCGATTTTGAATAATAAAAAAGTAAAATTTGAGCATTAAAGCTCTTATTATTCCTCGTACGATGCATGCTTTCGTGGCAAATCCCATGCATATAAGAGTAAGTTGACCTTAAAATCTCAATGCATTTGTGGGACAAACATTCTTCAACAGGACTTGCTAATTAGATAAACACTAAAGCTGTTAAAGTTTTAAATAATCTTATAATGTGGAATTGGAAAAACTATCATATTTTATTAACATATATATTTTCTATTGAACTCACTTTATTTTTTGTATATTAATAAAATTATAAATGTTTGTATTAAACCCTAATGTGTAATATAATTTGGCAAGGTAGTAAATAATAACCGTTGTAAAAAAACTAATAATTAAGATATTCTTTATTAAAACTTTAGATAAAGATAAAGTGAAGATTTAGACCACGACAAAAAAGCTTTTGCATGGCTTACCGGTTACGGACAAAGTCATGTCCATGGAACATTATTATCATAAATGCTTTGTCGATATATATATATATATATAACATGCATGCTCAATGTAATTAGCACCGAATTTGTAATGATCATGTGATATATATTCGAAAATATTTTATTTTCACATACGTAGAAAATATGGAATACACATGAGAGTGAGCTTTTTACGAGCTCTTTACAGTATCATGGAATTGGCAAAGACGTTATAGTTTATATAATTTAATATCAATATTTTTTTAACCGACCCAATTCGGCCCGTAAATTATATTATACATATGGTGGAAAAAAAATATGATGTTTTGCATTGTTTCAACATGATATGTGCACCCAAAGTTAAATTTACACCAATATATATATATAGAATAAATTAGAAAACCGATGCAAATAGAATCATTGACCGGTTAAAAAGATTAAATCAAAATAAACAGTTTGTACCAATATGTATAGAATAAATTCTGTTATGAATATGATTTTATATAATCGAAATCATATAATTGATATTCAAATTGGATATATTTTAATCTGATATATCTCGTCAGATGAATAAACTATATATACCATGAAGCAAAATACTAATTATCAATTGTCTATTATCTTTCCGACTAACCTTCTTCGAGTGGCAATTAAAACATTTAATAGAAAAAATATTGGAATTTCGAGCGAAACACAAAACAATTTAAAATATAAAAAATTGACCATAAAAAGAGAAATGATTAGAAATCAATGATAATAATTACGTGTCATAAAAATTTCGGATGATAAAATGAAAAAAAAAAAGATAAATGATGGAAAGGGAAAATGGATGTTGAGTTGGTAAGTTGCAACTATGAACAAATTTGATAGAAACATGTCATGACAACATAATAAGAGCAGTCTATAGATAAACTATAATGAGTAATGAACGGTCCAACACCATGATTATATTTTCTAAGTGGAATTCAAGATATCATATATATATATATATATATATATATATATATATTCAACAATCCATTATTATAGCTATTCATTTTCAAAAATAAAATCCTTCTCCGCTAGACCACAAGCATAATAAATCTCTGATATTTTTTATTGGCTAATATGAGAAATGAAGTTTATTTTTTTTCTTTAAAAAACAGTAATTTTGTAATAAAATATTGAATACATAACACTCAGGGATACTTGAATAATGTAATTATTAAAATTTAGATAGTATTTCTTTTTTTTTTAAATAAAAAATTAGATAGTATTTCATACAACTTTGTTAATAATCCATAGATTCATTTTAAGATTAACGATCTATTGTATGTAATAATAGTTTAAGATTAATCATCCTAAAATTCATGTGATGATTTATTTATGTATTTCCACGAAATCTTTTTTTAAATATCCTAACTGTAGAAGAAACACCCTCTGTCTTCTCCACTACTTCGCCGAAATCTGCTTTCGAACTTAGATCGAACAACCTGCAAACAAAGAACACAGACACAAGCAAACCAAATGCAAATCAAGAAAGAGAGAGACACGAGAGTTACGAGTTCGGATTCAAGCGGTGTGCTTGTCCTACGTCTCGGTGAAGATCTGGGCAGT